TTTTTCGAAAGATCCAATATCGACAGATGATGTCTTAAGTTTTTCATCTTTATTGCACAAGATGTCTTTAGCAAGATAGCACAAGTGCTTGTTCATGATAGCAGAGCCTTCGTGTTGAACATACTGTTTTTTAACCGGAGTAGCTTCATCTTCAATATCTTGACCTACATGCATGTTTTCATCACATTTTCTGGTGAATGATAATACACATTTCCTGCAAATGCATCCTTGATCTTCAATTTTATATGCTGTTTTCACAAAGGCGTACAAATCAGGAAAACTGTCTTTTTTCTGTATAAGATGGGTATACCTGTCGGATCTTTCATGCTCTCCACAATGAACACATGGTCCAGGCTGTCTACCTTCATGAACAATATCACAGTTCTTTTTGCGTGGCATTTTTACATTTATAAATAAGTATCTCAAATAATATTCTTTTTAATCAAAAATAAAAAACTAATTGTATTGTGTAAAAGAAAAATTAAAATAAACAAATCAAAACAGATAAATTAACATAGAAAACCTTTTTACACTACCAGAAAATAAATAAAATTGAAACCAACAAAAATTTGCAGTCAAATCTGGTCAGATTACAAGTCGCGAAACCGTTCTGCTGTCACGATGTCCGTTAGCAGTGAAATACGCCTACGCACACAATAAATATATATATATAATATATGGCATGTATGGAAAGCATCAAGAAAGCAAGACGTACCCTTATGGAACTGAATTGTTTGCCGCAAACTTGCAGCAGACTTGCTGCAAGCTTGCGGCAAACAAAAAGTTTGCAGGAACACAGAAAATAGTGTTTGCAGATGTTTGCCGCTAGCTGCAAACTTTCGGCAAACATTGCAGCTTTTTGCTGCAAGTTTGCAGAAACATCAATGTTTGCCGTAAGATTGCCAGAAAGTTAAGATAATAAATAATGTTTGCTACAAGATTGCAGAAATCTTTGACCATTCTATATGTTTGCTGCAAGATTGCAGAAAACTTTGACCATTCTATATGTTTGCCAGAACATTGCAAGAATTACACAATATTGACTGGGCATGCCTAGTTGGCACTTCCTGGAAGCTAACAATTTGAAATTGTGTCTAGGTCATGTTAATTGTGTTTGGAAAATGCATTTCACATACAAGAGATCAAGGAGGCATTTTGGTTTAATAATATAGGATATTCAATAGGTAATTTTGTAAGTACAAATAATTCATAGAACTGCATGTTTTAATAAAATAATTAATGTCACCATCATACATAATTAAGTAAGCAACTATATATATATATATGTGTGTGTGTTTGAAAAACTTTAGCTATTATAAGTTTGAATTTTGTAACTGATGTACTGTATCATGTTTATTAAAATTAAGTTCAATTCTGTAATGCAATTATTACCTAGCTTTATACCCAATACACATTGGAGATTTTTCCTTTTTCATTTCTTAATACAGGTATATGATGTCATTTGAGAATAACCCCTACCCCCTTTTTCAAAACTCAAATGCATGTATGTATTTCCTTAAATCTTTAGGTTTGCAAGAATTCTTTCAATGACTGTTTGTATACAGGCAGGAAATCTTTTAAAAATGTTGCTGTGTAATTTGAAAGAGATAAATTGAATGTGTCTACACACATGACATTGGTATATGTGTAGTTCCTGCAAGTTTGCCGCAAGTTTGCAACAAACAATTGCAGCAAGCTTGCAGCAAACAATTGCCGCAAGCTTGCGGCAAATCTAATGTGCATAATTATGTTTGCAGCAAGCTTGCCGCAACCTTCATTTGCATGGTAAAATGGTTGCGGCAAGTTTGCAGCAAATGTTTGCTGCAAGCTTGCGGCAATGTTTGCTGCAAACTTGCGGCAAATGTTTGCCGCAGGACTTATTTTTCGGTAAGGGTACTACATTGCTGTAAATTGTAATATATTAGACTGAAATTAAGACTTGCAAGACTAATAAATAATTATTAAATTGTAATGATTTTATCTCAGGTTGTAATATGTAATCTAGAATTTTATACTAGTTGTAGGTTATTTTCTTTCAAGTAAAATCAAATGGAATTGAAAGGGGGGATGGGCAATAATATAGAAATCTTCTGGAGTAGCAGTCAATGAATGCAGACTGTTACATGAGGTGTATAATGTGTATAAAATTGACTTAATATTTATTAATTAGTGTCTTGTAACTTTTCAACGAGTCAGAAATACGTTTTGCAGATGAAAACGTGGAAATTATTGTTTGTAAACAATCTTTTTCAACTGTGACTTCTAATTCAGACTACGTCATTGGGGCAGAAAAAAGGGAAAACATAGGTAAGAATTAGCTGGAAAGGTTAAATATTTGGGAAAATATCACGATCACATAATTTGTTAATAATTTAACCAGTATTAAGTTTCATTTGGTTCAAAATATGGACGTATTTCAAGAATAAGGAGAGGATTTCTTTTCCCGCTACCTACATATATTCTTTGGGGGTTGAAAGGCCGCTTAAGTATTTTAAATCGCCTGGTAACGTCATGTGTCCCTACTGTAGCTATTCTCCATGCCTCAATGTATCAAAATATACCAGTCATATTTATTTTCACTAGGTAAACCGGCGGTGTGACGATTCGTTTTGAGCTGAAAAATTGACCAGGGCAGTCGATGTGAAAAAAATGTCCGTTTCACAAAATGGAAATAATCGCTTGAATTTAATTAAATGGCTTATGTCATCTCGCTTTTTTTATAAATTTATTTTGCTTTAATACTTTAGATGAAATATGTTCTAGATTGGTCTATAATTCCGTTTATTTTAAATGAAATTTGTGATTAATCGATGCGTCGTTCACGGCCAAATTTCTTTTTACCGCGGAGCGACATCTGTTGACAGCTTTTCCTCAAATTATCTCCACTTGATTCTCTTGTCGCATATCCGGGGTTTTAACGGACAAATCAGATGATTGCGTTCCGGCTGTATCAACAAGTGGATATTTGCCCTACCAAAATGGATGCGCCGCTTCGTTGTTTCTGGAGCCGACTGACGGTCTTATATACAATATAAATCGGGCCTCAATTTGTTAATTTTTATGTATCTCTTCATTAATGTAAGTTTCATCTACCTGCCACTCTTTATTTTCTAATATTTGGACAGTTTTCACAGTGACCCATCAATTCCGCCATTTTACCTTTCATTTTCAAGTGGACGTCACGTTACGTGAGACTTCGCGGCCTCGAGACTTAAGTATGCATTTTTTTATGCTAATTTCGGTCTTGAACCTATCTAGCCAATCATGATGACAACAGGAACAAACGCGGTCATTCAGATTATTTGCGTGGAAAATAAACGAGGTGTTAGATTTTTATATTGACCCCGAGTCATTTGCATAAATCAGCTCCCATAATGCATCGCGCCTTTCTTTTTCTCGTTGGACACGTGACAATCTTACAAAGTGGAAGTAAAAATGCCGGAATAGATGGGTCACTGTGAAAACTATTCAAATATGAGAAAATAAAGGATGGTAGGTAGATGAAACTTACATAACATGCATAAATGAAGAGATACATGAAAAATGAACAAATTGAGGCCCGATATAAACATGATAAACATATATATGGATTAAAGGTCGTCAGTCGGCTCCAGAAGCAACGGAGTGGCGCATCCATTTTGGACGGGCAAATATCCACTTTTTTATATGGGACGAGCTCTGACGTCCCACGGCCCAAGCTTGTCTGTCAAAACAGCCGTTGGACGTCAGAGCAATCTCGGACTAAATAGTAGGGATGTCAACGAGTACTCGAGTATTCAAGTATCGCTCGGCAGTACCGAGTATCGAATACCAAAACGATACTCCACGAATCGGTTTCATCTTAGAATATTGCTGTCTTCATTATATAAAATTGATCTTCTTGTTAACCTCTTTCGAGAAATTAAATAGACATCACTGATTTATCATACTAGTAAATAAAATACATTTTGACTCAATGGTTGTTCCAAATTGTCATTAAAGATGCCTCCGACAATTCGTGGGCTATACCTAGGCTAACACTTTAAATTAAGAATTCTCAGCCATTCCGTCACAACGGTACCGTCAGAAGAAATATTTTCGTCTGCAAGACTGAAATTTATAAAGTTGCAAAACCGACTGTTACCAATTATAGTTGACAAGAAAATGTTTCCATAAAAAAACAAAATTCGTTGCATCCTCTAGTGACCCTCAGTGAATAGTTAAACTTTTAATCCTTATGCCTTTGTAAATAAATATGTTTTCTTAACGATTACCAAATACAATTGTTTGATATGGGTAGCGTCACTTTTACCATTCTAGAGTTATGCACTTTTTCAAATTGAAAAATTGTTGAAATTTTGGTTTCCGTTCTCTAACTTTAGTTTGCCTCAAGCAAATGTTATCAACCTTATACTCAATGCTTATTACCACAAAATACAGATCAAGTTTGAATTTGGGTAGCGTCACTTTTACCATTCTAGAGTTATGCTCCTTTACAAATGGAAAAATTTGGGTAGTGTCACTTTTACCGTTCTTAAGTTATGTCCTTTTATAACTTTATATGCAAGCGGGGGCATCATCTGTGTCCCATGGACACATTCCCCATGTATTTACTTTATAAAGTAACTATATGTAATAAGCTGCTGAATATGATACGTAACTACTTGTCCCAGATACTTATGTAAATGGTTTTTCGTCGGTTGAACAACAAACCACATAATGTAAAATACGTATTTAAAATTTTTTTGAGTTTCCGTGTTGTAGATATATTACCGAGCGAGACCACAGTACTCGAGTATCGCTCGATAAAACCTACGAGTACTCGATTAGTAATTGTTTACCGAGTTGACATTCCTGCGGTAAATGGTAATTAAAATTACGTTAAAATGAGATAAGTGGGATTAATTTCTATTTTGGATTATACACTTTTGACAAATGGAGGTTTTGATTGGTTGGGCTGCTGTTGCTTTTAAACAACCATTGTTATGACTTATTATTTATTATTGAATATTATTTTGTAGCTTGTGTCTAATGACGACATCCTCTCTAAGCTGTAGTGTTTGTGACCTACGTCACATTACAAAACCATCCATAGTCTGGTGTACAGAATGTGACGAAGGACTATGTACAGAATGCCAAGAACATCATAGTTTATCTAAGGCATCGAGAAGACATAACGTGATTCCTATAGTTGAATATCAGAAATGACCAACTGATGTACTGAAAATTTCTCCGTACTGTATCAAACACCATGAAAAGTTTCAAACATATTGCTGTAAGCATGAATGTCCCTGCTGCAGTAAATGTGTTGTAGAAAGCCATATAGTATGCCAGGATGTCATCAATTTAGATGACGTAATCCAAAACGCCAAAACATCCAATGCCCTGTGCGAAATAGAGGAAACATTAGTTGAAGTTGCAGAAAATCTACAGAAAATTCGTCAGCACCAACAGGATAATTTCTCAACTTTCAAAGAAAAGAGAAAGGGATTCGAAAAAGAAATAAAGCAGACCAGAATAAAGATCAACAACCACCTCGACAAACTACAAGAAGATTTAATAAAACAACTCTATTTGATCGAAGAAAAAGAAAACGCGAAAATTTGTCAGTTATTGTCATCATTAGAAAAGACACAAAGAGAAATAGCAGAATGCCAGATAAAAATTACGAATATAAAGACACACGCACCGGACCTTCAGCTGTTTCTTTCAGTGAAGCAAATAGAGAAAGACGTCTATAGCAAAGATAAATACCTGCAGTCGCTTGTAGAAGGCGAGCAATTGAAGATGAATTCTCTTTCATATAAGGTCAACACTTCTATCCAGAATATCATGTCCGATATCATAAGATTTGGAGAAGTGCGTATGAAATATACATCGTGCGATATCCTTCTGATCCAGAAAAAGGTCAAACAAGCCAAAATGATGGTACCAACCGCCCAGTCAAGATCCATTGAAAATATAAGGCTAATGATACACAAGACCATTAACACTGATGGGGGAAACTACGGATGTTGCATGCCACCGGATGGTAGATTGGTGTTTACTTCCTACCTTGCACGGACTGTAAAAGTATTCAACAATGAAGGAGTAAAAGACTTTGAGGTGAAGATGCTGTGTCGACCGTTTGATATAGTGTACAACAGTGAGGACAATACATTGGCTGTATCATCTGGTGATTCAGAGAAGCGTTGTATTACCATTATAGACCCGAAGAGGAAACAAATCCAGAAAACAATTTCACTGGATTCGAAAAATTATGGTATAGCACTGAAAGATAATCAATTGATGTATTCCGGTTACGACAAAGGTATACGAATGATTAATCTGCACGACGAATCTATAAGTGATGAAGTTCGAGACCAAATGCCCAATGACTGTTACATTGCAACATTTAGGGACAATATATATCATACAAATCCATCATCACACACTGTTACATGTTATAATCTACAAGGTGGAATACAATGGACATTCCATAATAAAAGTGTTCTGATGTCTCCTCATGGTATTGATGTAGATAATGATGGTAATGTGTACGTGGTGGGGTACATTTCGAACAATTTGGTAGTTATCTCCCCCGATGGACAACGACACAGAGAAATATTGACAGAAGGTGATGGTCTTCAACATCCTACTTCACTTCAGTATAGTGGACAAAAGAATCAGTTGCTTGTTGCGAACTATAACAACAAGGCTTGTTTGTTTAATCTGAATTGAAAAAAGTGTACACTTAAAACTTCTCTCTCTCTCTCTTTAGATCATTCTATGAATTGTTTATAATAAAAAGATTTCGAAAACCTATTTTATTTCAGATATACAATGTGTAGTGTTTGGTTGACGCAAAATTGTTAATCATATATAGTTGTTAGGCGTATGCTAGATGTGGCTTATACTATTACATATCTATCTAATATGTTGTCACAACTACAAGAATGTAAACCCAAATGTATCTAGAAAAGTCTTACAATAAAGTTCAACTCAACTAATAATTTTTTCATGCATGTTCATATATATGGAAGGTAATTTTGTGTACGTTATGAACACGTTGACATACACACCCCAAAATACGTACACATTGAAGTTATCAGTGATTATAAAACTTGACGATCCGAAAGATATTCACAGGTGCAAATATAGCCTTCAACATAGGACAGATGTTTATAATTTACAACAAGCCCTATATCATCCCGATGGATTCGAAAACGAAAGATGTGAATTTATTCGACATAGACTATTAATGTCAAACCATCAACACCTATCTAAAAAAAAAACAACGAAACTATAAATATGACATGTGACAACCATTGACGAGCTTAGTGTTTGGAACATAAATCAATTATTAACAGAAAACCATTAAGATAGGTACATCAACTCATAAAATCAGTAAATTGGGAAAAAACTTAAATCTACGGTATTGGTCATATAATACAATATGTTAAAGAAAACTAAACCGGTAGAACAACTAATTTAACAGTACACTATACCGTATCTCAGAATGAACGCAGTTTCTGAAAGCAATCGGCACCTACTTATATGAAATCATGCCTTCCTACGCTCTAATATGTGTGGCTGCACTTGATATTATTTTTCATAAAATGGCATTTCCATGTTTGATTTAAATGTCTTTGAAACTACTGAACCAAAATAAAACTAACCTTGACATGCATGATCATTAGTTTGTGTAGATTTTGTTCTTTAGGGAAAGTGGTAAGCGAAACTCATACATTCTGAACGTGAAAACGACTTTTGAAAAATACAAATGTCTCTGTTATCTGTAATCAAACTAGAACATACCCGCAAAATCGCGGGTCCGTGACTGAATTAAAGTACCAACGCCTTATTTTAGACTGGATTTTTAGTATTCGTATTGTCATATGATAACGTCATGCTGATTATAAGGTGCACAATTTTCTCTGCCTTCAAAATCTTTCTGCTTGAACCCGTCCTAGTTTTCTTACTACAGTCGTAAACTACATGTGACAATGATTGAATTTAGTAGTTTAAATCCCTGTATTATGTGTGATTATGACCCGTGTATATAGCAAATCCCATATACACCCTTTGGTGGTGCGCCTGACAGGCGGAACGTACAGATTAGATAACAGGTAACAGGTGACATATACTTTTGGTATCGGTATCGGATTCGACCCGGAACTTGTCAATTATGGGCAATATTAGTTATGTGGAAAACAAAACAGTTATGTGGAAAACAAAACAGTGGGAGATCTAGTGAAAAAGAACAAAAGGAAATTACCTCTTCTTATGATAGAGTCGAGAAAATCAACAATAAAATAATGCCGGTGACGACACTGATCAAAAGTTATTTCTAAATAACAATTGTACATTTTAAAGAATTTTTTTGTTAAATTGTGTTATTAGAAATATACATGCAAATACACGATGTTTTATTTTCAGTCTTTATCGAGATAATTGCATTAAATGCTTGTTAAACTGAAATCTAAAAAATGCCAATCTTTGCTTGTTTTGATCAAACAAAAATTGGAAAAAATCATGTACTGTAACATACAAAATCTAAAGATCTTTCGGGTCACCAATTTTTGGAGTGTTCAACAAAGTCCTTAACATGTTACAATTTCCCAAAATAGACTTATTTTTCACATTCTAGGTTTTCGAGTACACCGGTATGCTCTTGTCACATGAAAATTCAATATAGAAATAGTGTCTTTTCATGAATACAACAATACAAAAGTCTGTCTGTGTAGGTTAAAAAATTAAAGATAAATATTCTTATAAAGTAGGCATCTTTTTATTATGTTTTATTCATTTCTCAGAAAAGGTTGTCTCGATTTTTGTACATGTATTTGCGGTCTTCTCGATCTATTCACATTCGATGTTTACATCGGATAAGGTCCGTTTGAATTTGCTTAATAACTTAATCTAAAAAGTGCCAATCTTTGCTGCATATCAATCGATTCCTTTGGATATTTTCCCCTGACTTTCTCTGATCTAGCTGCATATATATACGGATAATTAGCATGTTCCAGAGAGGTATACAGTCAGTAAAAACATAAATTGGAGTTGGTACTCCAGGAATTTACACCAAGCTCCTTTAGTCTGCTGTACTCGTCGTTTTCTATTTAAGGAGGGAAATGATAACATTCAATGGAAGATTTGTTTTAATTCAACTTATTTCTTTTTTTACTATTTACCAGAACGTTTTCCCGTGAATTTATAAGTCCTAGCGTCCTTGCTAAAATGGGACAAACATTGAAAAGATCTAGTTTTCAGTGTTTACAGGGGAGGTAATAGTTTGTCCTTAGATTTCCAACTAAAAAGGGCCTGGAATGGTGTAATTTTTAATCAACATCATTGTCCTATATTAGTTATATATAGAGTTGAAATCTTTGATTTGTAGTTTTTACGTCATGCCGGCTAACAAATTGGACTTCGTTATTTTAGTAGTATAGATTATTAACTTTCAATTGTGTTCATATGAGTTTTTATACTGCTTGTAAACTCAACAACCAAAATGTGAATCCAGAATATTTTTTCTTGTTTGTTAATTATTATGTGCCATCAAACCTTCGGGGTATAAATGTGCATTTTAGATTAAGATTGATACTGAAATACGCATGCATGACAATAAGAGCACAAGAAAAGACAACCAATCAACGTTTGATTCATATTAATGAGGAGGCAAAATGTATTTGTTAAATTTATCAACATTTATTAAGAAAACTGTAATTCTTAAAAACACAAGACAAAAGAAACTACTGAAAAAATTCATTGATAGAAAATATGCACATTTATCTAATACTAGTAACACTCAATTATTTTGAACTAGCTGTCAAAGAATGATTGCCAGAGACTGAAACTGATTGACAAAATTGTTTTTCTAGCAACGATGGATCACTATCAACTATTGTCGGTCAAAAGCAATTCGTTCAGTTAGTGAGAACGAGTTAGTATGGTATCCTGGTTTGATTTCTACAACATGTACATGTACGGATCTGAATAAAAAATATCGATTAAAAGAAGTTAATTTAGTTTGCGTCATTGATTATTATAAACTAAAATTGCTTTACATTGAAAAAGTTTTCTCCCGCAATTTTACCTTAATCTAACATGTTTATAATATTTCACATTTTTATTAAAACATGAATAAAAGGAGATGTGGTGTATACATTAAAAAAGAAAAAAGTTAGAACTATGTCCTTTCTACTTGAAAATTAAATACTTGTACACTGTAATGTGGACTTCAATTCAGTCATAAATGCAATCCCAGATAAATGATATAACATTATTTGTAGGTACAAAAGCACCCCAAAGATCTGACAGATGCATTGTCAACCCATAAGATGTATTTAGTTATTTATTGGTACCTTGCAAACAATTTACTGCAGCTAGACCCTTAGAAGATTTTGGGGTATAACTGTACGTGTCAGACTAGATAACTCACAAATACACACCCCTAAGATGTATAAATTTTACACCCCTCAGAAAGAACCATCCACCCTCCTTTACCAGACATTAACTAGAATGGTCAATTGACGAGACAGTCATCCAGCTTCACATAGGGGCGGAACCAGGATTTTTGAAAAGGAGGAAGAGAAATTTTCGATAATTGAATAAACACTATTTATAAAAAAAAATGGACGATTCTATACTAAATATTTATATTTAGCGTGAAAAAATGAGATATTTATTTTTTTGGGGATCAAGGGGGACGGGAGCGTACGCCATCTACGCTGACTTGGATCCGCCACTCACACACGAAATGCACACGTCACATGATTTCTTTTCTATTCCACGTAAGAAAATCAGGGGCGTTTTTAGGATATTTGAAAGAGGGATCGTAGAATGAAAAATTTTTGGACCTTTTTTTTTTGTTAAAAAACATAAAATAATTGTGAAATGCATAAATTGCCATATTCAATACAATATTAGCAGATTTTTAAAGGGGGGGGGGGGGGCGTACGCCCATTACGCCCTCACCTTGACCCGCCCCTGAGAATAATCTATACTACTATAAAATAACGAGGTCCAATTTGTTCGCTGACCACTTTCCCTAAAGAACAAAAGCTACACAAACTTATGCTGTTGTAAAAACGACGAATCAAAGAATTCAACTTTATATATAACTAATATAGGACAATGTAATCCGAAAAATTAAGTCGTTATATATTCCGCTGATCTACGATTACTTCACCTCGCAAGTAAGAGAGATCGATTACGGGGAGGGACTGAATTATTCGGGTTAAGGACAATGGTGTTGATTAAAAATTACACCATTCCAGGACCTTTTGTTTTCCACATAATTAATATTACCAAAAATTAACAAGTTCCGGGTCGAATCTGATACCGATACCAATATAGGTTGGTTCCCTCCGTAAAATATCCAGTATGTCAAGAATTTCAATAACGGCCGGGTACCAGTCTAATACCAATAGTACCTGTTACCTGTTATCTAATCTGTACGTTCCGCCTGTGTCAGGCGCACCACCAAACGGAGTATTTGGGATTTGCTATATACACCGGTCATAATCACACCTGAACTTCGTCATTGTACAGGGATTGATACTACTAAATTCAATCATTGACCAAAAAAATATATCTACAAGTAGTTTCCGGTTGTAGTAAGAAAACCAGGACTGATTCAAACAGAAAGATTTTGAAAGCAGAGAAAACTGTGCACCTTATAATCAGCATGACTTTATCAAATGACAATACGAATACTAAAAATCCAGGCTGAAATAAGGCGTAGGTACTTTAATTCAGTCAAGGACCCGCGATGTCGCGGGTGTTTTCTAGTTTAACACTAAATAAATTAAATATATAATTATTTAATAAAAAACAAACATATGTTGGCTATCTTTTGGAGCTCAATTTCACCAATAGATTAAGCTTTTTGGCCGTTTGTTTCCAGAACTATTTCTCTAACATCATGAACATAATATTTACCGTAAACATTATCGTAATTTATCTTCTGGTAGAGCTCCATTGTCGTGCATATACTTCACACCGTTTT